GCTCCCAGTAGAGAGCGCTATCTATGCAATAGCGAAAATCAGACCACAGTTTATCTGACTTGTTTAATCTCATTTGATCTCGAAATAGAGGAACTTAGGGTATATGACTACATTGACTCATGTCTCACTCTATTGAAGTAAATGAAATGACATGCCACTCGTAGAATTTGATTTGCATTTTCTATTAAAAAAATCTTTTATTCTGACGCCACGAATGTTTTCAAAAGAGCTCTTATTGTGACGAGTAATTATAGTTCCATTTATCATTGTTATTTCTGCAGTACCGGTGGATCACACATATGATAATGAATTAGATGCCAACTCAAGATAGATAGATCTCTTTCGCTATTGAAGTTAGCAATCTAAAGGTGACCTCAAAGTCTTTTTTTTAAATACTGACAATTTAGAGTAGAAAGCTTCCTAGTGCATAGGATAAAAATTAAAGATAAGAAACAATAATTTTTTTCGCATTAAGAAACAAAAAGAAAAGTCTTTGTGGGTAAAATCTTTTTTTTTTCTTTATTCATTTATTTTTTTGTTCGAAAATCAACTTCTTCTACGTTGCTCATCCTTTAACTTAGAGTATGCATCTTTGGACCGAGAGGCCGATAGGTAAATAAACCTCGCACGAATAATGGAGCTACGTTATTTTCTGCCTTTAAAAGCACACACAACCCACAATTCCTCTATTCGCTCCGACGAAGGGCTAACGCTCGAAACGTCAGCTTTTGTAATCGTTACGGTGGCCAATTTACCATTTCAACTTTGTTGATATATCCAAATTATTTCGTTACTCCCACCGACGCAGCCCCAAACAGTTTCTTTAGAAACTATCAGCCTTTAGTCATTGGTAAATAAACCTGTTTGGTTTGGTAGAAAAAACTGAGAACGAGGCGAGCTAGAAACGAAGTCCAGTGAGGTTCTTTTAATTTCAGGTTTTTCGTTTTACAATTTTAACGATAAGTTTGACATATTTCTAAAAGACTTGTGAAAGATCTTAATATATTGATCTCTGAAAATAAAATGATTGCAGGGGGCTTTTCTCATTTGACTGTGCAAATAGACCCCAAGGGCTCCAGTTGCGTCAATGCATTAGCATGACATCTTAGTCTATACCACCATTTGAATACAGAATAGCTGGAGATATTATCTGTTTGGCTAGTGTCTCGGCTTCATTTTTTTTCTGAAATTTCTAGCCTTCTTAGAAATGAATGATCCCCACCCATCTGACTAAATTCCAAATACAGGTTTATCTACTGAATTTTCGCCGTAGTCCTTGGTCGATCGGTCTACGGCCAGTAAAATTCGGAGAAACCTTGGCAGATAACTTGGCGCGAATTTCACAAGACAGCAAACGTCGAAATTCTGCTTTGAACGAGTTGTTCATTCCAGCATAAATGAATACATTAGTAGAGCTGCTTAGGAAGACTAGTGCAGTGTGAATTAGAAAAAATTCTCTGGGCAAAGATGGAAAAGCACTAAAGCGCATTAGCAAAGCGAGAATCCATGCGGGTATCCAACACATACCGAATCCTATCACAACCACGAACAGAGATTTTGAAATTTTGATCTCTTGGGCGGTGATGTGAGCGTCGCGAATTCTCGACTGTAAATTTGGGGCTACTTCGAGATTGTGGTTCTTAATGGTCCTAAACACCTTGACGTAACAGAATGTCGCCAAACTGAATGGAAAAACAAGAAAGAAGAATACAACGATGCAATAATGAACTATCATGCCTTCCTCACTCGCGTGAGTCACATGGCAGGTGGCATACTCGGGAACAAATTCAAAATTTTGCAATCCAGTCAAGCCTGGTATGGCGATATACGAGGCTATAATGATACAAAACGTCCCCAGTAATATGCGAGATTTAAATCTCGAAAATAAAGTATTGTATCTGTTTGTATGGACAATTCTCATGTATCTGTTGAAGGCTGTGAGTGCCATGATTGAAGTGGAAGTAAATAGTCCAAAATTGACTAGAAACGCTTGTATGTTGCAGTAGAAATTTCCAAACGGCCATTTTCTTGTTACGAGGACGCCAGCAGTAAACGGCATCACGAACATGGCTGAAAGCAAGTCGGTTAGTGCCAATCCGATAATGTAGATGTTAGTCGTGGTTCGCAAGCGAGGGTTTTTATAAACAGCTAAACACACTAAAAGATTCCCGTTTAGCGATATGAAGTTCATGAGAAGACAAACGCTGGTTTCGGCGATTGTAACTGTTGGACCAAGATCAGCCATTTTGGAACTTGTGTCATTTTGCATGTTGTTCGTTCTGTATGCAGTGCTCATGCTTTTGACCGACAACAACTGAACGATTACAGTTTTTGGATTTTGTCGGTGCTTCGGTCAGCCAAAGTGAGAATATCAATGTTGCAACCTGTCTCGTCAAGACGAGGATTCAGTCTTCGTGAGCTCAAATTACCGTTTTCATTTTAAATTTAGGTACCAGTTAGCGTTTCTTCTGCTAAAAGGTAGCTTATGTGAAAGGCATAATTGTTGGGGTGAACGCTGTTCTTCAAGAAAACTTTGAAGCAAAACTTTCCACTATCATTCTAGCCAACTTGCTCAGTTATCTTTTCACTCTTGCACATAACCGCAGCAACTCTACATTGATTAAAAATTTATATATAGTTTGTCTTTCTCTGTATGTCCAGAACACAGGTGCCGACGAGAAGCTTTCTCACACTTTGACAGCATGTCCACTTGTAAATGGAAAACGAGATGACAAAAGGGTCACTTTGACAGAAGCGCCATTACAAATTGCCGACGTAATATTGTTAGAAATGAAGCACTAATTAGAGAATGCCATACGGCTTCACCTCTTTGTCAATTTGATCGTTATCACGCAAATATAGACTGTAAATATTTTAAATTTAATAGACGGCGAATTTTTCGTATTTATTCAGCGACTGACGTGAACAACAAAGACAGATTAGCCACTAACTAAAAAGAACATAAATTACATTGTGTTCCCTTTTGACGTAACCTCCAGATGTTGGTTCATTTGCGAGTATAGTTTTTTTAAAGGATTTTTATTGCAAGGGAAAGGAAATCAACAAAGATGATAATAAATGAGAACTAAATTAATTTAGCACTTTTAGTCAAGCTAAGCGATCTGGATGTAAGGTCATTTTATCCATCAAGCAAATGACCAAAACAATTGTTAATTTTCAGAGCGACCTTCCCTTTGCAATAACAACAAAATTAATATTGCGCTAGTAGATAGGTACTTACAATAGTTTTAGGAATTCTATCTTCTTTGTTGTCACCTCTCTAGGCTACGTCTATCCTTAATTTAAAAGTTAATGAAAACAATTAATTTTGACAGCTACCTTTGAAGTAGATCGGCAAACAAAAATTGAGGAGGAACCAAAACAAGAACACGTAAACTACTTCTTTAAAACCAATTAGAGACAACCTCGGAATTTATCTCGGCAGGTTAGACAAAGTGGAACGACATCTTGTGTCAACTAAATAAAGCCGATAAAAATCGAGAGCGAATCTTCTAATTTTCTTCATTTCCCATCACTATCGAGCAGTCTTTACGTAAAAGCTACAATAGCGTTTGCACCTGCCCAGAAAAACTCATGATTTGCACTTAAAAAATCAGTAGAACTTAGCATCTTGACAAACGAGAAAAAAAAATATAATGATCTGTTATAGAAATGTCATAAGAATATCTCTCACGGGAAATATTTGGCTTTTCCATCCTTCTATTTTTTAACAGCATAAATTCTCAGATTTGCCATGTGGGATACGCTCCTGTCACTTCAAGGGCACTGACAGTCAGGAAAGAGCTATTATATTGTATAACCAGAGTTCCCTCTATTAACTCTGGTATAACGAATTAAAAAACACAATGCATATGAACCTACTAAATTACTAACGAGAGAAACACTTAACAATTGTAATTTGGGGGTCTAGTTTCCTTCGATAAGAGAAACCCACGTCAGTTCAGTATTTCTTAGTGAAAGGATCCGATTGGTTCGCCGACGGAGGTTAATTGCGAGAACTAGCAAAAAAACATAATGTATATGTTCCCACTAATTTACAAGCGAGGGAAAACTTTAAAATGTAAAAAACATAATTGGGGAGGCTAGTTTTCTTCCATAAGAGGAACCCACGTCAGTTCAATAATTGTTAGACCAAGGATCCGATTAGTTCGCCCACGAAGGTTCATTGTGACAACTAGTGAAGTTAATAAAACTTTTAATTCATTCTTAAAAGAAGAGATTGAGAATCCGTTCTAGAAATGATAGGATTATTGCAAAGTAATAGTATTGTAACCACGTTTTTTACAAACTAACTGTGCAGCATCATAAAATTGACAAGGCCAAAGAGTACTTTACAAAAGTTTCGCGAACATCGATCGTGATCTGTTAATTTCTCTCTCGTTAATAGCAATGGTCTGATCGTCCGTGTAAGAGTAATCCTCATAATGGAGTATTGTCGATGATAGCATCCGGTGTTACAAGAGCGTTAGAGGAGGTCATTATGTGAGCACATATTTTCAAAACAACAAATCCTGTCTTCGAAAGGGAAAACTTTTTCCGCTCCGGCCCAACCCAACTCAGTTAATAAGCATTTTATCATATAACCTCTGTATCTTCTTCTCCTTGATATGTACTCGTAAGAGTTGCATCTCGCTGAGCCAAACACAGGGTCTGCAGCCTCTCCCGGCCTTGCTTGCCCCATCACCTTCGACCCTAATACGAGGATTTTTGTATTATGTGTTCATATGAAGCGCATGCAGGCCTTGCTGCCAGTGGCCACTAGGGGCCGTTTTGTGATTTTGGCCACTAGTGGCCGTTTAGCGATTTTGTCCACTAGTGGCTATTTGGCAATTTTCGCTTCTAGTGGCCGTCTGCCGATTTTGTCCACTAGTGGTCGTTTTGTGATTTTGGCCACTAGTGGCCGTAATTTGGCAATTTTGTCCACTTGTGGCCGTTTGACGATTTTTTTCAGTAGTAGCCGTTTGGTGATTTTGTCCACTAGTGGTCGTTTTGCGATTATGGCCACTAGTGGCCATAATTTGGCAATTTTGGCCACTTGTGGCCGTTTGGCGATTTTTTTCACTAGTGGCCGTTTGATGATTATGTCCACTAGTGGCCGTTTGCCGATTTTGTCCACTAGTGGTCGTTTCGCGATTTTGGCCACTAGTGGCCGTAATTTGGCAATTTTGTCCACTTGTTTGGCGATTTTTTCCACTAGTGGCCGTTTGGTGATTTTATCCACTAGTGGCCGTTTAGCGATTTTGTCCACTAGTGGCCATTTGGCGATTTTTTCCACTAGTGGCCGTTTGCCGATTTTGTCCACCAGTGGTCGTTTTGTGATTTTGGCCACTAGTGGCCGTAATTTGCCAATTTTGTCCACTTGTGGCCGTTTGCCGATTTTGTCCACTGGGAGCCGTGTGCCGATTTATTCCACTAGTGGTCGTTTTGCGATTTTGGCCACTAGTGGCCGTAATTTGGCAATTTTGGACACTTGTGGCCGTTTGGCGATTTTTTCCACTAGTGGCCGTTTGGCGATTTTGTCCACTAGTGGCCGTTTGGCGATTTTTTCCACTAGTGGCCGTTTGGTGATTTTGTTCACTAGTGGCCGGTTAGCGACTTTGGCCAATAGTGGCCTTCTGGCGGTTTTGTCCACTAGTGGCCGTTTGGCGGTTTTGTCCACTAGTGGCCGTTTGGTGATTTTTTCCACTAGCGACCGTTTGGTGACTTTGTCCATTAGTTGCTGTTTGGCGATTTTGTCCCCACTAGTTGCCGTTTGGTGATTTTGTCCACTATTGGCCTTTTGGCGATTTTGTCCATTAATGGCAGTTTTGCGATTTTGGCCACCAGTGGCCGTTTGGTGATTTTGGCCACTAGTGGCCGTTTGGCAATTTTGTCCACTAGTGGCCGTTTGATCACTTTATCCACTAGTGGCCGTTAGACGATTTTGGCCACTAGTGGCCGTTTGGCGATTTTGTCGACTAGTGGCTATGAGGCGATTTCGTCCACTAGTAGCCGTTAGGCGATTTTGTCCACTAGTGGCCGTTTGGCTATTTTTTCCACTTGTGGCCGTTTTGCCATCAGTGGCCACTAGTGGCCGTTTGGTGATTTTATCCACTAGTGACCGTTTGGCGATTTTGGCCAGTTGTGGCCGTTTTCCGATTTTGTCCAATAGTGGACAAAAGTGGCCGTTTGGTGATTTTGGCTAAGGTGGCCGTTTGGTGATTTTGTCCAATAGTAGGCATATGGCACTTTTGTCCACTTGTGGCCGTTTGGTAATTTTTTTTTACTAGAGGCCCTTTGGCGATTTTGTCCACTAATTGCCGTTTGGTGATTTTATCCACTAGTGGCCGCTTGGAAGTTTGGCCAATAGTGGCCGTTAGGCGATTTTGTCCACTAGTAGCCGTTTGATGATTTTATTCACTCGTGTCCGTTTGGCGATTTTGGCCAATAGTGGCCGTTAGGCGATTTTGGCCACTAGTGGCCGTTAGGCGATTTTGTCCACTAGTAGCCGTTTGATGATTTTATTCACTCGTGTCCGTTTGGCGATTTTGGCCAATAGTGGCCGTTAGGCGATTTTGGCCACTAGTGGCCGTTAGGCGATTTTGTCCACTAGTAGCCGTTTGATGATTTTATTCACTCGTGTCCGTTTGGCGATTTTGGCCAATAGTGGCCGTTAGGCGATTTTGGCCACTAGTGGCCGTTAGGCGATTTTGTCCACTAGTAGCCGTTTGATGATTTTATTCACTCGTGTCCGTTTGGCGATTTTGGCCAATAGTGGCCGTTAGGCGATTTTGGCCACTAGTGGCCGTTAGGCGATTTTGTCCACTAGTAGCCGTTTGATGATTTTATTCACTCGTGTCCGTTTGGCGATTTTGGCCAATAGTGGCCGTTAGGCGATTTTGGCCACTAGTGGCCGTTAGGCGATTTTGTCCACTAGTAGCCGTTTGATGATTTTATTCACTCGTGTCCGTTTGGCGATTTTGGCCAATAGTGGCCGTTAGGCGATTTTGGCCACTAGTGGCCGTTAGGCGATTTTGTCCACTAGTAGCCGTTTGATGATTTTATTCACTCGTGTCCGTTTGGCGATTTTGGCCAATAGTGGCCGTTAGGCGATTTTGGCCACTAGTGGCCGTTAGGCGATTTTGTCCACTAGTAGCCGTTTGATGATTTTATCCACTCGTGTCCGTTTGGCGATTTTGTCCATTAGTGGCCGTTTGATGATTTTGTCCACTAGTGGCCGTTTGG